GCCCAGGAGTGCCGTGGCTGGGTGGATGGTGTGTGTTTTTTTAAGAAACTGCCCAACTTTTCAGAGTATTGAACCATTTTACATCCCCCACCGTCTAACTTACTTTTAAAAATCCACATTATGCTGCTGAGAGTTGTCCACACTGTTGATGTCGCCTTCATTAATTCATCTTCACTGCTTACAGTGGGAAGTACCAGCCAGTGTGAGGAGGCGCGATGGGGTGCCACGAGTGAATTACAGGTGTGCTTGGAGCTATTAATGGATATCCGTTTTCACGGATATAAATTATAATCCCGTTTTAACAAAGCTACTTAACATTTGACATCGGTTCAGATCACGTCCCTTGAACACCGTTTCTGTGCCCCCCCCCCCAAACTTGCGTCGTTTTGGAGGACGGCATGCAGAGAACCCACCACCAGAGGGCGCTCTGTATACGCTGCGCCACCTGGCTCCTCCCCTCCTCTCCTTCCCATCAGTGGCACACTTTGTCTATTAGTTAAGATGTGTTTATTATCGGTGAAATCTTTTGTAATATTTGTTAAGGAAAAGATATAGTTTTTATTTTGGTTTACTTTGTTCTTGTTCTTCACAAAATTTAAAACCAGTACCTGTGGTGTGTGTGACTTCGGCCTTCCATACCATCGTCGGCGTCACTGGGGCACCCCGCTCCTCCCGCTCCGGCACCAAATGCTCTAAAGGAGATTTGTGGTTTGGTTTGTTTTCCCAACGGTTACTTTTTCTGGGTTGCTCATTTGTTAACTATTGGTTGTTGACGCTAATGACTAGCCTAGTGATTCTCAGTTTCTGAGTTGTTGAGACGCGAGCCTAGACATTGCTTCCCTCTCCGGGTGGCTTGGCTCAGAACCCATGCATCTGGTCAGAGCCGGTCTGCGGAGGTGGCGGGGCCTCGACTGAGTTAGGTCCTGCTGCCAGCCCTCGGATGCACACCGCGCCTCTGGGGGCACACTCCTGAGTGTGCCCCCATTCCCAGGCCTGCAAATTCTCTGATGCATTTCATGTTGCTTGGAGAAACTAGGTGTCCAGTCCCTATTGGGGCAACCTGCATATGCATAACGTGATGAGTGCTCCTGGTGCCCCTCGCTGTTGGGGCTTCCATGATGCTTTTAGAACATCTGCTACTGGCCCATGACACGGAATAAAGGCAGTTTGACGACTGTGTGACAATAGGCATCATTTCAACCATTTGTAAGGGTGCAGCTCAGTGGCACAGAATCCATTCCCAGTGTGACGCAAGATCACCAGTGTCTGTACGTACCCAGAGCTTTTCCATCTCCCCAAAGTAAACTCCGCGCCTGCTGAACAGCAGCTCCCCCCTCTCCTGCCGGTCCCGATGACCTCGAATCTGCTGCTTGTCTCTGGGCATTTGCCTGCTGTACGTGCCTCATTTAAGTGAACTCGTACAATGTGGGTCCTTCTGTGTCTGGCTTATTGCACTTAGCACAATCCATGGCTCATCCAGTGTATGTGCATACTGCAGTTTGTCCGTCTGTCTATGGACATTTGTTCTGGCTGCTGTGCCCAGAGCTATGAACGTGTGTACGCATACACATTTGAGTTCCTGTTTTCAGTTCTTTTGGCTATACGCCCTAAATTGCTGGGTCACATGGTAATTCTATGTTTGGCTTTCTGGGGACTTTCCACACTGCGTTCCACAGTGGCTGGATTGCTTCACACTCCCCCAGCTGTGTGCGAGAGGTTGTCCGCCCAGTTCCCCAGCACTTTGACGAGCTCTTTCCTCTGCAGCTGTCTCGGTGGCTGTGAAGTGGGACTTCGTGGTTTAGGCTGCATTTTCCTAGCAAGGAATGATGTGGGGCATCTTTTCATGTGCTTACTGGTCATTAATATAGTTTCTTTCACGAAATGCCTGTTCAAGTCCTTGCCCATTAAAAAATGTGGGTTGTGTGTTTTTGTTGTTGAGTTGTAAGAGTTCTTTATACACTCGGGACACTAGGCTCCTCATGAATATTTGTATTAAACTTCACAGCCACTTTATCAATCATTATTTAAGTTTTTCAGTACCACATTTTAAAGTCATGTGAATGTTTTCTTCATCATTCCCATACTGTTGAATACTTACATTTTTTCATTTTTCCACTATAAATCATACTGTATTTTCTTTTCTTAAAATAACTTTTTGTTTTGCATACACCTTTCCCCACATCAGATTAATTCCTTACAAGGTATGTTGGGTGTAATTATAAAATATGGGATTTATATTTTCTAAGCCCTAAATATTATTCTAGATTTATTTATACATAAATAAAAATACATATATGCTCCTAACATGAATAGGGCTACATATTCTTTATTGTGTATCATTACACAGTATTATACAGTATTTCTTGCTTAAACAATTTCAGTTATGGAGAAACCCTACATGTGATGGGGTTTGCTGTTCTGTACGATCTTATGTATATTAGCTGTCCACTGTATTTATCTTGGAATTATGTCTTCATTTCACTATGCTTTTCCTCCAGTAAATGTTTCAGAAAGTCAATGGTGGTGACTAGGGCACCGTTAGCTTTGCTGGGGCTGGATGACCAGGTTGTGGGGGGCTCCTGTGGGCAGGGCCCAGGACCAGGGGCCGCGTGGACGTGCTCCCCCTTTAGGGCTCTCACACACATGCAGGTGCGGAGAGTTGCTGGCAGGCGGAGACAGCCTCGTTCTTGTTTCGCTCACGTCCCCACCTAGGTGCAGACCCTCCTTACTCCTTGTATAGGTGGTGGCAGGGTTCCCGCTCAGCAGGTGGTTGGAGAAGGAGCTCCTAGGAGGCCACCAACAGTCAGACCTTCTGGGGACCTGTTTTCTTGATTAACCTTGAAGGGATTTGCGGAATCTATGCTATCACAGCACAACAAGAGCAATGACTGATGTGCTGCTGAAGTCCCGGCCCCTTGCCAGAGGCACATTTACTGTCTGGAAGGTTAGGGGTCAACCTCCCACAGCTCAGGAAGGGCGAATGTCCTTGGTCACCTTCCCAACAGCCCCCCATACAGGGCAGAGCTTCACCCCCGATCTGGACTTGACAGAGGGAAGTGTTTTCTTTCCATGGAGGACGGGACCAGACCCCTCCTGGGTCGCCGGTGTGTGCCTAGGACCCACCGCAGCCCTCGGCCCCTTGGGGAGTTGGTCGGGGTGATCTCCGGGGCCCAGTTCCTCTCCGCCAGGCGGCCGGAGGTGCCACTCGGTGGACGCTTGTCCTGTTCTCTGAAGCAACCTGCAGCTCAGAGCAACGCTCGGGTCTTTGGGAGCCGATGGGGCACGGCATGGCCCAGAGGGGTGCATGCGGGGTGTCTTTGCACCCCTCAAGGTATCGGATCCCACACGGAACCAAGAGGCAGCAGAACCTGGGAAGGAGGTCGAGGGCAGCATCCACAAAGCCCACCCCCAACCTGAGGTCCACCTTAAGGCACAGGCCCCCTCCCCACCCTCTGTCTGTCACCTGATCTGCTCGGGGAGCCATGAGACAACCGACACACCTGAGGCTCAGCAGAGCCCAGGCTGGGTGCCAGGGACGCTCCTTGGCCGTCTCCTCGCTGCTGTGTCAGGGAGGAGTCCGTGTCCCAGAGGAAGGGACAAGTCCATGCTGTGGGGGCCCTGCTTTGTACCAGGGACTTCAGTCTCCTTTTCACGTCTGGGCCCGCCTGGCACCTGTCCCAAGAGTTACTCCTGAGATCAGTTAGGTGAGACGCATATGAGCAGACAAAGCTGATCCCCAGGCTCAGAGGGAGGCAGAGGCCGGCCCGCGGGCCCTCCCTGCCGGCCAGCCTTCGAGGGGCTCAAGTCCCACAGAGGAGGTGGGAGTGGAGCGATTGGGCGCAGATGGGGGGGGGGGCTTGAGATGGGACAACGGGAAGTCAGGCCGACAGACAGAACGCCGAGGGCCGGAGGAAGGTTCCTGAAGAACCCGGGGCTGGCTGCGGGGAGCAGGAGAGAGCACGTCCGGCTGACACAGAGCTCTGCAGGGCAGGGGTGGGGGGGGCAGCTGGGCAGTCAGGGCGCCAAAGGTGCAGTGGGCGGCCCAGGAGGCTCTGGAAAGGCCAGCTGGGCTGTAACAAGCCAGGCCAATAAATAGGAAAATACAACTTCTTTTTCCCCTCTTGACAACTTAGAGAGTGGCTTTTAAAAACTATTTCATCTCTGTTGAACTCAGGTAGGAGACAGCCCAGAGGCTGGCGTCGGAGAGGGTAAGGGGGCTCAGCCTTGACCCTCCCAGCCCCCTGCTGTCTCCCGGGAGAGAGCGGTGGCCGGGCCCCTCTGCACACCTGTGGAGGGCGCACCTGTCAAGCAGCCCCCTCCGCGCTGGACAGCGCTCGGTGTCTGCACCTGCGTCCTCCTCTCTCCTTAGTCTGCAGGCTTGGCTCAGGTGAAGGCCCCCCACCCCCCCCACGGGCCCTCAGAGGGATCGTCTTCTCCAGTTTCTGGTAACTGTATCGGGGCCGCATCATGTTGCTAAGCTACAGATACCATCTCCCTAAGGTAACTCTTCCCCGCCAGAGCCCCCTCCCCCCCCAGGCTGGACCCAGGCACAGAGGAGGGCCACCGGGGAGTGGGTGGAGTTTGGGGTGTGAGGGTCTGTTAGGCAGAAGCAGGTTGGCTGGGGTGCCGGAACAGTGTTGAGGTACACCGCCATTTGCCACTGGAGCCTATGGCACAGGGGGGCCAGGAGCTGGGTGGGGGTCCTGGAGAGGCCCCCCAAGTTCCTGGAGCTGTTGCAGATTGTCTTCTGATAGCTGCAGCTCGGCCCTACTGACAAACCCCCAGTCCTGGGTGCAGGCACAGAGAGCCACCTCCTCCTGGGCCAGGACGAGCGACAGGCCCCCGGCACAGGTCCACCTTAACTGGGCAACCCTCTGGGCGGGGCGCAACCCTGATGCCATCTGCGCAGACGGTCCGGGTGCAGGGCAGGCTTGCACGCGGTGCGCACAGCTTCCTGCCGGACGCCCTGGCTCCTCACGCCGGGTTTGCAGCCCAGCACCATGATCCAGGGTGCCTCAGAGCCTGATGGCTCCAGCTGGGGCTGGGGCTGGGACGGGGACGGGGACGATGACTGGGACAGTGCTGTGCTCACCCTGCTGGCGCTGGCTGTGGTGGCTGCCACGGCGCTGGCCTTGCACTGGTTCGGCTCTGGGCAGGACCAGGAGGCAGCAGGCCCTGCGTCCACAGGCCCCCGAGCGCAGCCTTCTCCGGCAGGAGGAGCCAGGCCAGCCCTGCCTCCAAAAGCCAAGGTCAGTGGTGGCGTCGAGGGACATAACTCAGGGCTGAGGAAGCCAGACCCTCCAGGACTCAGCCAGGGGAGTGCAGCTGCAGCAGGCGTCCGGGACCACCAGCCCCCGGGAAGTGGAGATCTGACCACCACAGCTGCACCTCCACTCAAGACACCTGGCGAGGCGGCCCGTGCGGGGGCCTTGGGACAGCAGCAGGGTAACTCTACCCCAGAAGTCCCCCGAGGCGAAGCAAAGGAGCACCTCAGCCCAGGCGCTGCCCTCCTGGGTAGGAGCAAAGTAGGGGGGACGCCTGCCCCTCTCCTGATACACTTCACTCCCCGGAGTCCAGACAGCGAAGTGGAGGTACCGGCGGAGGCAGGAGGCATCCACGCCAAGGCGCTGGCTCACCAGGCCCCAGCCCACACGGTGGAACAGGACACCAGCTCCTGGAAACAAGGAGTGGGGCCGCCCCGCTCAACGGGGAGAGGTTCAGGCAGTCGGCGGTGGCAAGTGGGTGACAGCTCAGGAGATAGAGCCTGCCGCTCCCCAAAACTGGACCCTCTACGCCTGGGCACTGTGGTGAGTGTGTGGGATGCTGTGGATGCAGCCAGCAGCCTCTCTGCAGGTGCCCAGAGGCCCCCTCATCCCCAGGAGCTGCCCCCACCAGACTCTGTGCAGACTGGGCGCCTGGCAGATGGCTCAGAAAGGGGATGCAGGAAAAGCGGCCCCCAACCAGCCCCAGTTTTAGCTCTGGATTCAGGGGCCAAAGCTGGTGAGAGCAGTGAGGTTGGGCCCGGGGCCCCCAGGGAGTTTCAGGGGTCCCCACCCTCAGTGGAAGGCTGGCCCTGGGCAAGGAGGGAAGTCCTTGTCACCAGGAGCTTCAACCAGACCTCAGGCTCCGTGGGCCTGCGGCCAGAGGAGCAGCAGTGGGGACGCCCACTCTTGTTCCAAGGACAGGAGACCACAGTGGCCTCCATCATGGAAAAGGCTGGGGTCTCTGGAGACCACTCTTTCTTTAGCTCAGGGCCAGGCAGGACAGAAAAGCAAGAGGCTCACAGTGTTGGGGAAGGGGGGGGACCGCAGCGAGGCCAGGGGGCACTGAGCAGAGGGCAGGGTGCTGGCGGTCTGGGCGCAGGAAAGCCAGCTGCAGACAGCCTCAGCTGTGCCCCCTGTCCATCACCTTCAGCCACCACCCCCCTACGCACCGGTAAGTCCACCTCACCTTCAGCTAACTCAACAGAAGCACATCCCCACCGAGACCGCTTACCTGCAGACCCAGCTCCAGCTGCTTCCCCAGCCCCAGCTGCAGCCCCAGTACCAACTGCTTCCCCAGCCCCAGTTGCAGCCCCAGTACCAACTGCTTCCCCAGCCCCAGCTGCAGCCCTAGTACCAACTGCTTCCCCAGCCTCAGCCCCAGTACCAACTGCTTCCCCAGCCCCAGCTGCAGCCCCAGTACCAACTGCTTCCCCAGCCCTAGCTGCAGCCCCAGTACTAACTGCATCCCCAGTCCCAGCTGCAGCCCCAGTACCAACTGCTTCCCCAGCCTCAGCTGCAGCCACATCCTCAGCCCCAGTACCAACTGCATCCCCAGCCCCAGCTGCAGCCCCAGTACTAACTGCATCCCCAGCCCCAGCTGCAGCCCTAGTACCAACTGCTTCCCCAGCCTCAGTCCCAGTACCAACTGCTTCCCCAGCCCCAGCTGCAGCCCTAGTACCAACTGCTTCCCCAGCCTCAGCCCCAGTACCAACTGCTTCCCCAGCCCTAGCTGCAGCCCCAGTACTAACTGCATCCCCAGCCTCAGTCCCAGTACCAACTGCTTCCCCAGCCCCAGCTGCAGCCCCAGTACCAACTGCTTCCCCAGCCTCAGCCCCAGTACCAACTGCTTCCCCAGCCCCAGCTGCAGCCCTAGTACCAACTGCTTCCCCAGCCTCAGCTGCAGCCACATCCTCAGCCCCAGTACCAACTGCATCCCCAGCCCCAGCTGCAGCCCCAGTACCAACTGCATCCCCAGCCTCAGCTACATCCTCAGCCCCAGTACCAACTGCTTCCCCAGCCCCAGCTGCAGCCCCAGTACCAACTGCTTCCCTAGCCCCAGCTGCAGCCCCAGTACCAACTGCATCCCCAGCCTCAGCTACATCCTCAGCCCCAGTACCAACTGCTTCCCCAGCCCCAGTACCAACTGCATCCCCAGCCTCAGCTACATCCTCAGCCCCAGTACCAACTGCATCCCCAGCCCCAGTACCAACTGCATCCCCAGCCCCAGCTGCAGCTTCAACCCCAGCAGCATCCTCAGCCCCAACTGAAGCTTCAGTTCCAGCCCCAGCTGCAGCCCCAGTACCAACTGCACCCCCAGCCTCAGCTACATCCTCAGCCCCAGCTGTAGTCTCAGTTGCTACTTCAGCCCCAGCCCCAGCCCCAGCTGCAGCCTCAGCCACAACTTCAGCCCCAGCCCCAACCCCAGCTGCAGCCTCAGCCACAGCCTCAGCCACAACTTCGACCCCAGTCCGAGCCACGGCCCCAGCTCCTGCCCCAGCCCCAGTTGCAGACAGTTTTCCAGTTGTAGCCCCAGCTGCAGCCCCTGCCCCAGTCCCAGCTACAGCCCCAGCCCCAGCTGCAGTTCCTCCTCCATCTGTAGCCCCAGTCCCAGCTGCAACCCCAGCTCCAGCCCCAGTCCCAGCCGCAACCCCTGCCCCTACTGGTAAGTCAATGCCTGCATGTCAGGAGCCTAGTGTGGCTATCTGCAAGGGCAACCAGGAGGGGCAGGTCTCAACTAGCTGGGGAAACCTTATTTCAATGGTTCTTAGGAGTCACCCCTTCCCCAGGCAAGAGAAGCCTCAAGGGACAGCCCAAAGGGCAGCTCTGGAGAGCTCTAGAGAGCCCAGCACGCCCACAGCCTTGGAGAACATGGAGCCTGGTTCTCCCTCTGAAAGAGTCACTCCGGGTCTCAAGGACGGGCAGGACTCCCCAGCTGAGATGGCCACAGGGGCAGGCACAGGGGGGCTGGCTGAGGCTGGATGTCAGCCACAGCAGAGAAGCTCCGAGACAAACGAGGCTGCGGTGCCCAGGGCCCCATCACGGCTGCCTGAGAAGACGAAGCCTGGGCCTGCACTGTCCCTCACTGCCAGGGCAGACCCACAGCCTGTCCCCAGGCCACGGAAACGCAGCATGTGCGAAATGGAAACCTCAGAGAGCTCTGAGCAGAAGGTCAGCCAGGCGGCCCCAGGAGAGGCGCCAGGGGAGAGGCCCAGCCCTGTAAGCAGCAGGGGTGTCCTCACGGAGAAACAGAGGGAGGCCCGCAAGCTCATGGTGTTTCTGCAGAAGCCTGGGAGCTGGGGGGTGGTGGAGGGGCCCCGGAAGCCCAGCTCCCTGGCCCGGGAGGCTGCCTTGGCAGCAGCTCTGCAGTGGCGGCTAGACCTGGGCAGCTGCCTCGATGTACTAGCTTTTGCCCAGCGGCACGGGAAGACCGGCCTGGCCCAGGAGACCTATGCCTTGATGAGTGACAATCTGCTGCACGTGCTGGGGGACCCGAACCTCTACCGGCAGCTGAGTGGGACTGACCGAGAGCGCATCCTGAGCCTTCGGACTGGCAGGGGCCAGGCCGTGCTGGGGGTCCTCGTGCTGCCCAGCCTCTACCAGGTGAGCCGCTCAGGGCTTACAAGGGGCCCTCACATGGAGGAGGCTCCTGCCGCCGGTCCTGGGCCCCTGCCTCCTCCATCGCACCTGCATATGTTCAACCCCCAGGAGAACACATGGCGGCTCCTGACCCAGGTGCCGGAGGAGGTCCCTCTGCGGGGCTGCGGTCTCTGCACCATGTACAACTACCTGTTCCTGGCGGGCGGCATCCGTGGCTCTGGTGCCAAGGCTGTCTGTTCCAATGAGGTCTTCTGCTACAACCCGTTGACCAACATCTGGAGCCAGGTGCGGCCCATGCAGCAGGCCCGGGCCCAGCTCAAACTGGTGGCCCTGGATGGACTGCTCTACGCCATTGGGGGCGAGTGCCTGTACAGCATGGAGTGCTACGACCCCCGCACAGACACCTGGGCCTCGCGTGCGCCCCTCCCCGCGGGCACCTTCCCTGTGGCACACGAGGCCGTGGCCTGCCGTGGCGACATCTATGTCACCGGGGGCCACCTCTTCTACCGCCTGCTCAGGTACAGCCCTGCGAAGGATGCGTGGGACGAGTGCCCCTACAGCGCCAGCCACAGGCGTTCCAGCGACATGGTGGCACTGGGGGGCTTCCTCTACCGCTTCGACCTGCTGCGTGGTGTGGGTGCTGCCGTCATGCGCTACAACACGGTGACGGGCTCCTGGAGCCGAGCCGCCCCCCTGCCCCTGCCGGACCCAGTCCCGCTCCGCTGCACCGCGCTGGGCAACACCATCTACTGTCTCAACCACCAGGTCACCGCCACCTTCACGGTCTCCGAGGGGACTGCCCAGTTCCAGGCCAAGGAGCTGCAGCCCTTTCCCCTGGGGAGTAAAGGGGTCCTCTGTCCATTCATCCTGACTCTGCCCCCTGCGGACCCACTGCAGACTGCCCTCTGAGCCACTTCGCACCAGGACTGCAGCTGCTGTCTCCATGCAGACTGTGGTGGGGCTCCGAGGCCAGGGGGGCACAGGGAGGTGGCCGCTCTTCTTTCTGGGACAACTTCCCTTTCTGTTATAAGCCTCATGCTTTCCCTCCCCACTTCCCCTCCTGCGAGAGAGCCCAGGCTCCCTGAACCTGTGAGCTGGTCGCTGGGTGTCCCTACCACACCCGAGTCCTCCTGCCTGTGTGAGTGAGTCCCAGCCCCAGTGCCTCAGCTCACTCACACGAACCCTCCTCGAGACAGTGGGCTCCCATGGCCGGGCTCCCCTGCCACAGCACCAAACACACTGCCTGCACCCCCAAGGACCTGGACTTGGCTGGCTGAGGAGTCAGCGACTGCTCAGCCCAGGAAGGAGATGGCTTCCTTAGGGCTCAAAGCCAGGCCAAGGGGCCCATGAGGGGCTGGGAAGAGGAACAGGAGCAAAGAAGCCCCTGGGAAAACATCCTTGCATCTGGGGTTTTCTGCCCGTCCTGAGGCCTTGGGGACCCTGGCATAGCCATCCCCAGAAACAACTCTGAGCTCTCCTTTGTCAGGTTGGTCTTCGGGGGCCCGGAACCCTTGTCTGTGACCCTGTTCTGTTGTCTGCAACGCCTGCTCATTACCCAGCCCAGGCCTGGCCAGGACCCCTGGGTCTCATGCCCTTCTGCAGCCTTGTGGGGTCTCTCCCACATGCTCAGCCCCTCCACTTCCCACCCCACTTCCCACCAACCCTTCTTAAATGGGACCTGGGCTGCACCCTAGCTCTGTCTCTCATTAGCTATGCGGACTTGGGCAAGACACCTAACTCTGTATTCTCACCTGTGATGTGGGGACAATGGACATGTCACTCATGAGAATTGTGAGAACATAGGTCACATATATGAGCACCTGGCGCAACCCCAGATACATAACAATAGTGTTGCCCTTGACCCACTTTGGAACACTCCACAGGAAAGTAAATAAATCTGAATCTGGCTGCCCGTCCCACCCTCTGACCTGGTTTGTCCCCAGCTGCCCTTTTTGCTTTTCTTTCTGTGCTTGGCGCTAAATACGCTTAATTCACTGGCAGCATCGGCATCTTACACTTCCTGTGTTTTGTTCGTGGCGGGGAGGGATGAACAGGAATCATCAGGTTGTGCTTGAAAATAAGTTTATAGAGAAACAAGTGCTGTGCACACAGCTGTGTATTTGGGTCGCTGTTTCTCCACCAGGCAGAGAAGGCTCCACCCCGCAGTGACTCAGCACATAGGCAGACAGCGGCCTGGCGGCAGTGGGGTGGGGGCCTACTGCGTGCGCTTGGTCTCACTGAGCAGCTCTTGCCAGTTCTTCTCCATCTCTTCCTTGCAGTTGAGGAAGGCGTCCTCCAGCCGGCGCATGGCCTCTGCCAGCGTGGGGTTGGTGCGTATCACCACCATGTCATAGGCCATCCACGTGGCCTGCACTGCAACAACCAGACAGGCTCTGGTCAGGCCACAGGGTGGGGCTGTGGCTTTAGAGCACCCCGGGGGCCTGGGCCTGGCTGAGTCACCCAATTATTCTATGGAGAGAAAGCTGGTCAGATACTTGTTACAGGGCTCACAACCCCCCCTATTAAAACTCCTCCCTGCACAGAGCAGCGGTGAAGCTTCCCTCATCTCACACAAGCCTTACCTTCTGGGTGCATCAGCCCATGGCACTACAAGCCTGGAGACCATTCTGCTAGAAAATGCCAGGAAAAATTAGAGCAAACACAGGTCCCTACCTACCCACAGTTCACAGCTCTTGGGTGCAAGCAGGCCTCAAGGAGTGATAACACCCACCAAGCTCAACTGCGTGTTCAGGTAGGGCTGACCACTCCCTCCTGCACGGCCCTACGCCTCAGGTGGTTGTGCTCAGTGGCCTGGGATACCTGTCCACCTCCACCTGGGCACCTCCGGACTTTCATTAAGGCCAGTCCAGAGCTCCTCCTTCTGGTAAGTCTTGCTGAATCCACGTTAGGTGTCCTTTGCTGCTCTCCACTGCACTGCCCAACTTTCTTGTTCTTTCCCTCTGAGGGCAACTGGAGGGCAGCGTCCCCCAGGCCTATAGGTAAACGCGTGCTGCTGGCACTGAAACCCCACGTCCACACCCTTCCCTCTGCAGTCCCCACCCCGTTGCCGCGGCTCTACCTTCTAGAACTACAAAAAACAAAGGTCCTAGCCCTTCTGCATGACAGGGAGAAGTTGTTAGACAAGGTATGTGCAATATCTCAGCACCGAGAAGGCCAGCGATCCTTGAACTTTGGGAAGCATGGCAGTTACCCTACGGAGCAGCTGGAGCTCAGATGGAGTCAGACTTTTCCTCCAGCTCAGCACTTGCCGGCTGTGTGACCTACAACAGTGACTCAGAATTGCTCCCCTTGGGTTTCCATCTGTAAGGGACAGAGAGTGTCCTAATCTCGGCTCCCTGTGAGGATTAAATGAATGATAGTAAACTGCCTAGTATATATCAGGTGATCAAGAAAGAATAAACTCTTACTACAAAATAAGTAATTGAGGTATGTAGGGCAAAGGGTTAAGGTAGGTAAGAAATTACAATGCATAGGAAAAAACAGCTCGCAGAAGTGGATTTCACCTAAACCTACATAGCAGCTGGAATTCCAGCTCTGCGATTCCTAAGGCCAAAGCACAAAAGAAAACACACTTAGATACAAAACTCAGTGACGATAAAATAAAAAGAAGTCCATTGTGTAAGACACTTTTATCCTGAGAAAAACGGACATATTGGTATATTTCGTGAGAAGTGGAATGCAGCTGGAAACACCCTTGATTATGGTGATGGTGAGCCCTTAGCTTAAACGTGAGGTGAAAGAAAGAGAAAGCTGGCAGCACAGCACCGAAGCACCGGCAGAAAAGGCAGTTCAACGAGACACCAACACACTGCAGCAAGCGCATAGCCCTCTTCTGACTGATGCAAGGAAAGGTATTTAGAACACACGGAACAGGAAGGACTCATAATCACCGGACACCCTCCAGCCACGTATGCCTCTTGAGCTTTTCCCTCCTTCAGCATTTGTTGAAGCCTTCCTTGTGCAGCACCTCTCTAAGGCAGCCCCCGCGACACAGCAGTGGGCAGGACAGACGCTCCCCTGCCCTCATGGAGTGTCTATGGCAGTTGCAGTGGGTAAACACATCGGGCAATTCCAAACGGTGAAAGGCGCTGTGCAGGAAATAAGCAGCGTGTTGTTGACAGGGAGATGGGGTGGGAGGAGCCTTATTACAGACCAGGTGGTGAGGGCAGGCCCCCTCCACGGATTTGAGGTGAGGTCTGCAGAGTGGCAAAGCCAAGGTCATAATCTGCGAAGGGGCCTGAACAGACATGATCCGAGAGGCTAATCAGGGCTCGCCCTGTACCCTCCGATAACCTGCTGGGTAGGACCAAGATCCACACACAGAAATGAAGAAAAAATGGTTAAGATGTGCACTGTGAACCGTGGGGACTAAGAAGGGCTCCTGGTAGCTATCTGGGCTTAAAGAAGAAAAAAAGAAAAGCCGAGCCTAGCACTCATTTCTGCCGGAGACCTCTCCCTTCCAGCCTCCCCCGCGCGGGCGCCGGCACTGCTTCCCGCCGCCCTTGCGGCCCTTAAAGAGGAGTCCCTGGGATCCTGTTTCAGCCAATAGGGCCGAGGCTCTCCCCACCCAATGGGAGCTGCCCAGCTGTGCCCAATTGGAGCAGCCACATCCTGGCCAATCGGGGGCCGGGGCGGGGACTTCCGTCCAAACAGTCAGCTCCCCTGCGGCTCCCAGGAAGCACTTTCCTCCCAGGAGAGACGGTTAGGTTTTCCGGGCTGGGGCTGGGGCTGGGGATGCGGCTGGGGCTGGGGCTGGGGATGCGGCTGGGGATGCGGCTGGGGCTGGGGCTGGGGCTGGGGCTGGGGCTGGGGCTGGGCTCGCGGCTGGAGCGCGAAGATGACTCCTGAACCAGCAGCGCCATGCTGTTTTCACACGTTTCCGCGGCGGTGCCGGTTTCACAGCTCTGCTGCATGGCTGTGGAGCTGCTTGTTTGCACTAACTAAAGTTTCCTTTTCCACTGCACCCCAAAGTGGCGTTTGGATTGGTGACAGTGACCACTGAGGGACAGCACCTAGACACAAAATTTAGTAAAGGATGGGGATGAAGTGTCCCCAAACTCTGTTTAGGAGATGGGAGGACTAACTAGGGACGCAGCGAGTTTGCCTTTGCCTCGAGGGCCTGGCAAGTGAAAGTGCGCGACAGGGAGCACAGCGAAGGAGAGCGAGGCCCGGTGACAGAGGATAACGACAAGCCTGGACGTCACAGTCCGCAGGCTAATTTACATAATCGGGGAAAGAGACCAAGCGACATTTAAAAACGTAAATGATGTTCTACTTCCCCGAACCTCAGGTCCGAGGTAATCTTACAGATGAGTTCTTACCAAATTTTGGAAGAACAGTTAATGCTTATGTAAGACAAGTGATTCCAGAGATTAGGAAGACTGGTAACCTCACTATATGGACTGGTGTAGCTTTTAAAGAAAGTATTTATAGAAGCATTTTATTTATATTGTAGAACATTTGAGAGTAGAGATAAAGAAAAATAAAAACATAATTTTCTCTGAGCTGGTTTATTTTAAAACCAAAGGCCATATGAGAAAAATGACAGATTTCACATGGATGTAGATGTGAAACCCTAACTGTAACATGGGCTAGGCAACTCTAACAGTGCTTTAAGACAATATGTTATGATTGGGCAGAGTTGGTAAAAGAAATTCAAGGATGGTGGAATATCAGAAAACCAATCACTCTAATTAACCACAGTACTAAAAAGAAGGAAATCATAAGAATATCTCACTTAATGCAAAAGAGGCAGTTAAAAAATTTTACCTCTTTTTAATTTTAAACAATCAAACTCTAACAAATTACGAATAGAAGGAGACATCTTTTACTCACCAAAGCAATATACCAACAACTTAGAGTAAACATTACACATAATAGAGAAACTGTGGATACATCCCCTATAAGACTGGTATCAAAAAAGGATACCTCTAATAATGTTACTGGTATTGGAGATGCTGGTAAATGGAATAGAAAAAAAGAAATAAATGGTGTAAGGATTGGAAGGTAAAAGAGAAAATTATCAGTTTTTGTAAATTGTAAAAATATACATGAAAGAATAAAGGCCTACTAAGTCAATCTTTTTAAAAAATAAAAGTTAAAGGTGGGGAACAAGCCCTACTAGATATCAAGACAACTTATAAATCCCTATTTTGAAAATAGTATGGTACAGACAAATAAACCAATGGAAGAAAGTAGTAAGCTCAGAGATAAACCTAAGGATTTATGGAAATTTAGTACACGATGAAATAATATCAAAAATCAATGAAAAAGGGGAGTGTACTCCAGCTGTATTAAAGATATAAATATGGAAGATAAAATAACACTTATAAATCAAAATTTAGCACTCCAATGTCTCCCTCTCACTTAGACAAGAAAGGTCAACTCCTTAGTTTGAAATTGTAGACGCTTCTCACCTTGCAGCCTCTTTGGCCTACTACCTTGTGAACCCTGCACTGATCTGGCTCCCTGACGGCCCCAGGCTTTCCCTCGCGACACAGGCCTTGACCACCCCTCCTGCTGGATGGCCCTCCTCTCTGCCCCCGCACATCCCCTCACCTGCCCAATCTCTGCTCCTGTCCCAGCGCTCTGTGTAGAGCCTCTGCTGCCTCCCCAGACAGCCTCTTTTGCCTCTGCTCCCGTCCCAGTACTTGGTGTACTCCGTTAGCATTTGCCAGATTTTTATTTTAATATAAAATTAACATGTGTTTTAATTTTAATTTATATATTTAAATTATAATTAGTCATGTTGATGACTGTTTCTGGCTTCCACCCACTTCTGTAATGAATGAGCATCTCTTCAACTTTATATTCCTAGAATAACACAGAGTAGATGCTCAGCAAATGCTGTTAAATAGAATATTTAATTAGATGGAAGGAATTATATAGCTTATAGAGAAAATGAATCACAGAAGTTTTTTTAAGGGTAGTTTTAAAAAATATAAAAAAATTTGTCCTGGCTGGTGGTGCTCAATGGATTGAGCTCCAGTTTGTGAACCAAAGGGGTCGCCAGTTCAGTTCCCCGTCAGGGCACACGCCTGGGTTGCGGGCCAGACCCCCAGTAGGGGGCGCAGGAGAGGCAAGCACACACTGATGTTTCTCTCCTCTTTCTTCTTCCCTTCTCTCTAAAAATAAATGAAACCTCTTTAAAAATATAAAGAACTTTCGAGTACACAGGCAAAAATATTGCAAACATTTCCAGACAGAAATTTTCTGAAGCACGTCGAAATAAATGGAGATTACTTTCAAATTAATAATGTCTTTAAAAATATTTTTTTCACTTAGAGTATGCATCCTTTCTAAAATTTGTTTTACATTATGATTTTCTCTAGCAAAACTTAGGCTCATAAATTATAAGAATTACACATGTTCTTATAATTTGTAAGGTAAAAAATAAATGAGAGAAATTATAATGGTATTACCGCCACTGCTGGCTACCACTTAGTGGAAGCGCGGAATACAACAGCAGGCTAATACTGTGCAAAAATGGAGACATTTGTTCAAGTCCGTTGCTGCTTCACACCCCCGGGCCGCGCCTGCCCCCCACGCCTTACCCGTGTTGGCACTAGTGGTCGAGTCGCGCGCGGGAGAGGGCGCCAAGGCTGCGCACAGGGGCCGCGTTTGCCGCTCGCTGCGGGCCGGGGCCCGGGGGGGGGGGGGCGGGGGCCGGGGCCGGGGCCGGGGTCCGCACTGCGCGCAGGCACCTCTCCGCCCGCAGCAGGACAGCAGCCCCTCCGCAGGACTAGGGTGCGGCGCGCGAAGCAACCGCAAGGCGGCGCTCAGCGCTGGGAGTCAAACTCTGGGCGCCCTGGCGACACGCGGGTGGTCGGGAGGCGCGGCGGGCCCCGGCCGGGGTTGCGGGGGCGGGGCGGGGGGGGGCGGCCTACCGGAGATCTTCTCCATCTCCTCCAGGACCTTCTCCAGGTCCTTGTTCAGGTCCGACAGCATTCTCAGCATGTCGTCGTAGCTCCTCTCCCCGGGCTCGGACGCGGCCATCTGGGCGGGGTGCGCAGGAAGGAGCGGCGTGACTCCCCCCACGACCTCTCGGCCCCGCTCCTCCGCCCACCCCCAGGAGGCCCACGCCGCGCCCACGCCGCCCCCCCACCGCGAGGTCACCCTCCGGCCCCTGCCTTCCCGACCTGGGGGTCACTGACACGGACCGACGGTGTCTGCCCCCGGAAGGAACATGTAACACGCCCCACCGTGAGTCCGAAGACCCGGTCAGTGCTTGGGCGCCGCCAGGGAACTGGATCCTGCTCTTGCGGGGGGGGTGGGGGGGGGGTGGGGGGGGTCGGGGAGGTGGCTGGGGTGAGGGGTGGGGGTTGGGCACAAGGCGCCGGGCACAGCCGGGGTCAGGGCACACCCGGGTCCGGAGCGCTCGAGCTGGGGGCCGCCCTCACTCACCTCCTGCTCCGCCAGCGCTCTGTCCACTCGCTCCGGCCTCTGCTCTTCCGCCCTCTCAGGGCTGGGGCCTGAGGAGGCGCCTCTGAGGGAAGCCCCACCCCTTTCTGTTACCAGACCCGCCCCCGGAGCGGGCCTCTTGTCCTCATTGGCTGGCACTCTTGGGGCACGAAGGGTGGGGCTGTGAGCGTGTGGCTGTACCAACCCGGCAGGTCGGCACGCGGACCTCGAGGCCTCATTGGCTGGTCTCCAGCGGAAAAGGTGGAGCCATCCCAGGCGTCCCAGGGCGGGAGAGGTTTTCACTGGTGGGCGAGGACAGCACCGCCGTCACTGGGATCCTTCCCACGTGCTAGTGGAGGGAGACTCGCTTGGGCCGGTGAACGCGCAACACAGTGTACACATGATGTGCTGTAGACCTGGGTACCTGATACCTGCTTTATTAAGCACTGTCACCTCAATAAATTCAATTTTTAAAAAGGTCTCGGAATGAAAACAGGCCTCAGTGGGCCTTGGTGGAGGAGGGGTGAGGCCGAGGGAGCGTGGAGCTGGGATGAGAGGTCACTCGTGTCCTGAAACTGGTGCTCCTCCTCTTGTCTCTTCGCGGGTGTGTGTGGCCCTGCGCCCAGGGCCCTGCCTGCCCGCTGCGCCGTGGCGTCGCCGTGTCCAAGGCAGCACTTGGCACGGCAGGTGCTAACAAGCATTTGTTGAGTGAATAGCTGGATGCCCGAGCATTTGTGGTCTTCATAACCACCACACGTTGCTGTCATTGTTGCATCATAAGTCCTAACAGAGGAGGAAGCCGAGGCTCAGGGAGATGAGGCAGGTAGGACCCGGGTACGAGCCAATGGGAAGGGAAGCATTGCTTCCAGCCCAGGTCTGCCAGGCCCTGGCTGGCCTTGGGGCAGTAGAAGCACGGGTCGCCAAGCAAGGACAGGGAGAAAGCTCTTGGTCCATGAGAGGGTGCACATACAGCTGTGGCCGGGAGGAGGCTGAACAAGCTGTCTTTGTTTAGAGGGGGCCGGGCCCCTTAGAAAGGCAGTAAGCAGAGCAGTGGTGTGGGGAAGAGGCCTCTCAGGGCAGACGGAGATGGAGCCGGCTGTTGCTGTTGTTTGGATGAGTAATGATGGAGGAGTGGGCAGGGGAGGTGGTGGTCACGGTGGAGGGAAGTAAAACTAGACCCGGCTTGGGATGTGGCCAGGTGAGGGAGAAGGTAGGAATGGGTTGGAATGGGTTAGTGGCTGGAGTGCGACACCACTGGCTGAGATGGGGGAGAGGAGGAGAGAGGCCAGTTCAGAAGGTTGTTAACTTCGTATTTAAACACCTTGTGTTTGACATTCCTGATGAATCTGGGACCCACTAAATTTTCTCTCAGGGATTCCAATCCTTAGTCCACTGATTGCAGAGCAGAAAAAACAGCTAGCGTTGAGCCAGACCGTTCTGGGCACAGAGCCAGTCCCCACCTATCTATTGAAGAGGCTGCTGCCTGGGCCACGCACCCTCCACTTTGGTTCTCAAGTTGTCCCTTCCCACCTGTGAGTCACCCTGCATACTTCCACTCCCTCTGCCATTTGCTTGGACTGCCCAGAAAAACACAAGTCAGAAATAACTCTAGTGGGCAATGCAGTTTGCCAGGCTGAGGAAGGGCACAGGACTCCAGACAGAAGATTCTGTGAAGGAACAGGCAAGGGATGGATGAGCCTACCAACTTCAGTGAGTGTGGTTGGGGCTCCGGGTTCTTGGGGAGTGGCAGAGGACACTGAGAGCAGCTGGGCTGGAGTGTGAGGGGCCTGGAGGTGGCTTCTCAAACATGTCCCAGGGCCCAGGCCCAGAAGGGTGGGCTCTCAGGGAGCCCACAGACTTCAGTCTGGTCTGTCCATGCCCTCGTGCGTCACACCAGGTAACTGTTCACCAAATATTTCCTTTATAGCCTGGACTCACAGCTAGACTACATTTTCCAGCCTGTCTTGCAGTGTGAGTCCAGGCCAGTGGGATGTAGGTGGAAGTGCTCTGTGTCACGGTCAGGCCAGGCCCATCCTGCGTCTTGTCTCATGTACCTGCTGGAGGCTGATGTCCGAGGCAACTTGGGAACTAGCTGAGAAAGCCAGAGGCTCTGTCAGCATGTCTTTGAACAATGGTCTGGAGCAGAGTCTGTCTCAGCCAAGTGAGCAGGAGTTAAACCTCTATTGAGATTTCAAGGTTTATCTGTTATGACTGCCAGCCCTAACTAGCGCAGACCTGCAAACCCAGAGGGCTCAAAGGGCTTGTTTGGGTGCGGTGGGTTGTCACCAGAAGTTTACCCGCTGGTTGTACATGATGGTTTCTCTTATCTTAACCAAGGACAGATAAGATAACTTTGGCTGAATTTCAACATTAATCAGCCAGTTGAGCCCTAACTGGTGCGGCTCAGTGGATTGAGCGCCGGCCTATGAACCAAAGGGTCGAAGGTCCAATTCCCAGTCAGGACACATGCCTAGGTTGTGGGCCAGGTCCCCAGTAGGGGGGCACACAAGAGGCAACCACACACTGATGTTTCTCTTTCTCCCTTCCCCTCTCTGAAAATAAATAAATAAATAAATAAATAAATAAATAAATAAAATCTTTAAAAGACAAAAAAGCAGACAAACACAAGTGACCCTGGAGGACAGGTAAAGTTTCTGAAGGAAGAATTTATTCCAAATGCGCATAGTGGGTGTGCAGAGTGACCTCAGCAGAGACACATTTTAAAGCCAGTCACGGCCTCTCCTCTCCCAGCCCCAGTTCCGTCATTGCCACCTCTCTGGCCTGAGCTGGGGCAGGGGTGAGGGGTCTCCTAGTCTCCAAACAAAACACAGGAATCTAAAAGCTAAGAGAATTACACAGCCTTATGTTTATTAGTATCTAGCAAGAAAAAAAGTCAAAATTTCCTCCCTGCTCCAACCCCACCTCCACCAGGCGGGCCTCAGGGAGCAGTGTTGGCCCAGAGAGCACGTGCTGCCAGTGCTGTCCTTGGAACCTGGGCACCCGTGCACGGCCACCCTGGTGCCTGTGAGCTGATCACAGGCCCGTTCCTCCACACGCGGGGACAAAAGGGCAGCTGGCCTTTCTCCAGCCCTCAGCTGTCAGCCTTGAGAACTTGGAAAAGGTCAGCGATGTCCAGCAGAGCTTGACGGATGTGGTTCCCAAAGCGCTGGGCATTCTGTGGGAGCCAAAAGCTCAGGCCAACCTCCAGGCAAGCCCCTGTCCCTCTGTCCCCACAAACAAGGACCCTTCCCTAGCCAGACGGGGCCCAGCTGGTGCCCCCTCCTCGGGTCTGAGCTGGAGCAGGGGACTCACCGTCTCTGAGCTAGAGAACTTGCTGGAGACATGGAAGAAGATGGTGTTCTCGCCTGCAATCATGTAGGAGACCCCATAGCCATCGTCCGCTACCTGAGAGCAGCACGGGGTGGGAAGCAGAGGTTAACCAAATCTCGAAGATCCAAAGCCAGGGTGGTGCTCCCAGAGATTCTCAGGAAGGGCCCCACCCCCAGGGAACAGTGTGAAAACCGTACAACTTTGTCCTCCTCCCCTCGTTCACCGGGGATCTAGGACCTCAGGCTCCCCTCGAGGAGCCTCCTCCCAGGGGCGTCTCCAAAACCCTGACAAATGGGCCCACGGGAGGGTCCTGGGGAGGAGTCGCACACTCTCCTCCAGAGGTGGCAGAGGGGACGCCAGCCCCGAGCAACGTCATGCTCAGCAGAGGTGCTGGCACAGGTGGGGTCCCACGCAGGGCAGGTCCAAGGCTGTGCTCTGGCCTCTCTTCTGACCTCAAGGCCCTGCCCTCTCCACGGAGACACACCCCGTTCCTGTCCAATCACACATTCCCCTTCTGGGGCACTTACGGGGCCAAAGCCACCACCAGCGGCCAGGTGATTGGGGTACTTGTTTGGGTCAAACATGCGGATCTGGAATTGAGCAGTCTGGCTGGTAGAAAGGCGCCAGGGCTCTGACAGCACCTGCAAGAGGGACACTGCAGTGGTCAGACACCATGCGCTCAGTGCACACCTGCTGACAGGTGGTGCCTGAGCACCTGCAAGAGCCAGGTGTTGTCCTGGCTGAGGATGCAGGAGGAAAGCAGTGCAGGGCCTTGCTGACTGCTGCCCCTGGTGTCCCCCATCTGTTCTCACCATCACGGCATCTGCACAACCCGTCAATCTTGTGTGGAGGCCAGCTGGCCTGCCGCCCCTCTGGCCTCCGCTCCTCTACCGCTTTCTCCATCGGCTCCACCCCTCCCCTCCTCCCTTCCTGCCGTCCCCTCCAAGAGTGTGCTGCCAGCCGGATCCTCCCCCACCTCCCCACTTTTCTCAGGAGCCCCGCTGCCACCTGCCATGTCACACATTTGTCCATCTGCCCTGCTCACAGAAACACCAACTCTGCTCTGAGCGCCAGGACAATGGGCCCAGGCGCAGTATGGACGGGGCACCTGCCCCAGCCCTCCAGTGAAACAGAAACAGGCCAAGACCCAAGAGACGAGGTCGAGGGGACAGAGAACACAGCCGCATACAACACTGACCTCCGCCAGGAAAGGGGAGCTGACCCCCAGGTACTTGGAGACCACGTAAAGGCAGAAGAGGTGCCTGTCGATGCCAGCGCCCGTCATGGCCAAGCGGTACATGCTCTGGTGCTTCTCAGAGGCTTTCCGGAAGAGTTTCTGGAGGTCTGCTCTCTGGGGGGCAGGAGGGGAGCAGTGAGGAGCAGCCCCAACCCCCAAAGGTGCAGGAGTGGAGGGCCGCCTCATCGTGGGGCCGCAGGGAGCTCACCGTGTGGGACCCCTGCACCATGGCCCGGACGAAGGCCGTGGACTCGTTGGTGCAGGAACGTACAGTCTCGGTCCGTCCCTCCCGGAAGAGTCTCGTCATCGAGGCTTCATAGGTCAAGCAGAACTTGCCCCTGTCCTGGGGAACACAGAGGCGTGAACTTGGCAGGTGGACAGCAGGGTCGCCCTGCACCCGCGGCACCCTGCAGAGCTCCTACCCGGAAGTGCGCCAGCTGCAGAGCAATCTGCACAAAGGCGTCGGGGCTGGTCCGGCACTTCTTGATGAGGCCTTTGCCAAAAGGCATGAACTGGAAGCAGTACAGCTCCACGTCGTCTGCCAGCGCCTTGGCCACCTGGTAGGAGCTCTCGATGGCCGCCTGGCACTGCGGGGACATGGGAAGGGCCTGGGGGCTGGGCCGGGCTGTCTCAGGGCCTCGACAACTCCAGTGGGGGAGGCACTGATGCCTGCCCCAGGGACAGAGGCCCCCCTCACAGTGTCTCTACCCACCACCTTGCCCACAGGTCCCCTCACCCTGGGGCCACACCCCTGTGGGCGGGGCTGGCGGGAG